CTTTGTGTTTTGGTCTGGTTGGTTTTTTGAACTCAGTCCATCCACTGAGGAAGCAGACCCTCAGCACACTTTCCCATGTGTAGCAGCAGTGCTGGGGGATGTGGCGCAGAAAGGCTCCCGGCACTGCCACAGCCGTATCAACCAAGCGGTACCTGACAGACCCTTCCTAACTACTCGCAGCAATGGTACCCATACAGCAGGTGAATCACACAAACAGTATGTTGCCACCAAATCTGCCCTGAAGAGAGCTTTGCAATTATTTAGGAAAGCCTATGATCAACAGTATTTAGTTGTAGGAGTGTATTTTCTTTGCCTACATTAGAATGTGGTATTAAATAAAGTGCTGCTATAAACTACTGAGCCTATCTGTATTACAGTGATGACTTCCCATCTGTGAAACAGTGGAGCCAGAAGAAAAATACAGCTTTTGTGACACCGCTCATGTCAGTAAGAGTGGTACTGATGAATTTGACAGAAAAACTAGGTAATGTAATATGCTGCTGGTTGTCATCAGCACCGCAGTCAGTGTTACAGGTCTTGATTGTTCTTTTATCCCACAACAGAAGAATGTCATGAGGATTTCCTAAACATAAAAGGGTTCAGATGTAGGAAATATCTTAAAAAACATTTACAGTACCTCAAAAAACCTTGAAAATGGAATGGTTTTAGCCAAAAACACGTGCTCTTTCTCACACACATACAAACTAATTAAATAAAACTGCTCATGAGTGCTGGGCTTTGGGCAAAAGTTTTGATTTTTTATTATAAAACCAATGAACATTTGAAATACTGTAACATGTTGAAATAAAACATAATTACACAGACATCAAAAAGTTTGCAAGCAGATATAGAGAAAAAAGCAGAAGAAATCTGGAGTCTACCAATCTTGTGAGCTGCTCTTTATCTCCTTCATTCTTCTTTTTTTTTTTTTTTCTTGATGACAGAGGTTATCTTCAATGCTAAACAAAGACCTTGGGCAACAACATCCTGGCCCCAATGAGGTCAATGAATGTTTTCCATTGGCTTCAGAGATAGCAGAACTTTGCTCATTACCCACATACTCATTAGCACATCTAAATCCTTGAACTTGCTGTACTTGTTTCTCCAGTGAGGCCATGTATTTTCTTGTTATGCATCTGCTCCAAACCAGTTACTTTCCAGATAAAAGCCCTTTGGTCTATTCAGTCCATTCATAAACTGCCTGTATTTCCCCTACACTGAGACACAAACACCAAGAAGTGCAGATTCTAGACAGTGGGCTGCTAAGTGGCACCAGTTAAGATTAACCCTCACCTGTCTGAAACAATCCTGCTGTGCTAAATTTCAGGGCACATTGTACAGCTAGCTACCCCAAAAATCACAGCACAAGAGAACTGCCCTTTAACATATAGTAGCTAAACTCCAAACACAAATACATTGCTGCCATTAATTGCTTCTCTGAAGGATGCAGCTGCTTTGACAGCTATGCAACAGATGAAGGCTATCAATCATGTAAAGGTGTTGAGCTGCAGGTAAAGCTCAGATATCCAGCATCAAGGACTGGGTGGCTGCCATGGCAGAAGCACGGAGCTCTCCTCTGGCTCAATGATGCAAACAGAAGTGCTGCTGAAGCGATGTAAAGCCATTAGCATCCCTGGTTACTCAGCATCCCACGTGAAATGAGTTTCACAGCATCAGCCCAATGCCTACGAACGTGCATATGTTTAACATGCATTAGTAAGGTAATCTTCCCATACAATCTCCAAAGGCACAAAGTCGAATGCAGATGGAGATTTGACAATCGTTATCTCATCCTTCAAGGCAGCACTTCTACGATGGGTCGGGTAGAGGCACAATCTCAGGACCGTCTAAGAAACCCTCACAGCTACCACCAGAGCTGCTGGTGGTGGGGTTCAGCTTTTAGTGGTGTCAGCTCAGCGCTATTTATAAACCACAGTATTCAACTGTAACACATTCCCTCCTCCATACTATAAGCCCTCTGACAACGAGAAATACACACTCTTCAATAAATACCGAAATGACATTTTTAAAAATTTCGTTCACAAATTTAGTTTATATTAGAATATTTAAGTAACAAATTGATAAAAACTTCCAAACATCAGATTAAGAAAAATTATTTCAAAAAGTTACTTCAGTCTACTATAAGTACAAATGCAACATGCTTTGGACATACAGACTTTAAACTTTAGCCCACCATGAAATCTGAGGAGAAAAAAGGGTTTAGACCACCTTTCCAAATAAGTTTAAAACCTCCTCTAGAAATTTTCCCTTGTGGAGCAAGCTAGCCTGACGTGGGGTGAAAAGTATAAATATGTCAAGGTATGAGGCAAAAGTCTGACTGTAGCAGCCAACAAGGATTTAAAAGATTTAGGAGGTTTGAGAACAATCCATGTTACTCTCCCTTTGTCTCTGAACAGTGCTTCCTTCTGTACATTAGTAGCCTACCGATGAGCACCTCTGCAAAAATGCCAGAGACCAGACTAGCTGGTGGACCCTCCGTGGAACTGAAGTACAATCACGGTCAGGCACGTCCCGACCATTTCTACAATGGCATGTAACACTACAAGTTGACAAACAACATGACAGTGAAAAACTAAGAGGACTTAATGCAACCAGTCAAAACCCATTCAACAGCTTTTAATCAAGGGCAGCAGTTTGTAATGAACAGCCACTCTGTTTCAACGCCACCTCCTGTGCACAGCGTGCTCATTCTCGCCGTTCTCTCACACACTCACGCGCTCTGGCTCACAGCTCCTCTTCTCCTCTTCCTCTTGCTGGGAGGTCTCCTAGAGCCTCTCTTTATTTTGGGCTCAGCGCGGCATCGCAGAAAGCAGAATCCTTGCAGCTCATCAGCATGCCTGCCCCATTGGGTTGTCACTCTGGCAGCCGCACAGCTCCCTCAAGTCTCTTTCTTCATTTTCTTCCTCTTCCTCCTCTCCTTTTTTCCAGGTACATCTGCCATACAAACAACAGGAGCCAGTGCACAAACCTTCCATGTACAATTGCATTCCAGGGAACTGTTGGCTTTTCGCTTGAAGAAGGGTATTTTGGGGTTCCTGGGTGTATTTTACAAAGGCCACCTACTTACAAGGGTAATCCAAAGTCATGGGGAGGGCTCTGAATGTTTTTAGTGGGCTCTGACTCACACATACATTTGCTCCTGTTTCACATTTAAAAGCGCTGTGCAAAAATTACTCCCACTAAATGCAATAGCAGTTTTGCTCATTAACTCTGGCAGGAGCAGGAACAGGTATTTGTCACAGAAAGAAATGTAACAGAGCCTCTCTAAGAATTAACACATACAGCTAAAGGAGAAGCATTTTGCACATTCACTTAAAAATACATTTGTGAACATTTCTCAGATTACGCATTATTCTGAAACCAAAATTCATCAGATGTGCAAAAAAATCACTTACTGTTATTGGATGAATTATTAGCAACATCCAAGGATTTTCTGAAGGAAGCACAGACTGCATCACTGCTATGTTTTGTAGATATCAAGTCCCTTGGGCCTTCTTCCATTCTTGTTTCCAAACCTTGCTGGGGCTTAATTGAAACAATATGCTTCACTAAGCATATGAGTTAAACGAAGCATATGCGAGTACAAAATATGAGAGAAAATGTCATTATTGGAAGGAATTAGGGTATTTAAAGAAACTGCAGGACAAATTAGTTTTTAAATGATTAGAATATTCTGGGATGTCATCTACCTACCTCCTGTTTATTTGTTTTAGAAGGGATCAAAGTACGGAAATTGTCTTTCATTACTGTCTTTCCCCTTGTTTTCCCCCGTGAATAGAAGAACAGCGAGATACATTGAGGTGAAAGTACTGTAATTGTATAGTGAGACTGAAGACTGTGTGCCCAGTGACTGCTAATGACCACAGTCCACAGAAATACTGGAGGTAGCACAGGGCGCGTGATGAGCAACTTTGTAAGTCTGGCTTCATAAGTAATTTCATTTTTGTATGTCCATCTCCAAAGTATGAGCTTGCACAGCAGCAGACACCGCCGGCATTTGGGGCTGACGTGCAGTACAAACTCCTTCTGGCCCATCATAAACATGCCAGAAGAAACAATGCTGTCCTGAGGAGTCTGAACAGCACTATTAAGATTATTCATTAAGGTACATACAAAGCTAAAGCAACTAATTGGATGTGCAAGAAAGAGAGTGGCCTGGCAGCACTCCGGTAATGGATGGGCTGTCCTAATGACCATGTGGATTGTGGTCAGTGAGTTAGTTAAAAGCTTTTCCCTTAAAATGGGAGCATCAGGAGTTCAGGGAGCAAAATTGTCCCAAGGATCAGGAGAGACCACAGTGGGTGTGAGCGGAAGACAAACGATACTACACAGCTGTACGAGTCCAGAGCAACATATTCAGTGACAAGTGAATGAAAAACAATTAGGGGTGTCCCCCCCCTATTTCTCATTTCACTGAGCAGCAAGGACATCACAGCCAAGGACTGGTCCAAAACCCAGTCAACACTGTTCCTTTGCACTTCCTATCCCAAATGAGCTGACATTTTCCACAGCCTTCCTCTGTTGCACTCCAAGACATTTTTCTCTCAATAAGCTTTTCACTGATATAACATTGGTCTCGCTTTATCTTCACTGGCTTTTGGGAACCACCTTTGCATTACTGTTAATATCTCCAGGTGACCTTCCGCCATAGATTAAACACAGCCCAGTTGTACACTAAACTTGGAGTGCATTTCCCTGAGAAAGCATTTTTCATTCCATGATTAAAGCCATCTGCTCCTCTCTGCATTGCAAAATCAAACTGTTTTGTAAATATGTTAGGGAATACCATGTTGCAAAAACCCACTGGTCACTGTGCTCACCCTTCTTTTATGGGAGAGCAGGGAGAAAAGAGAAGAGAAGAGGAAGCCAGAAATGGAGAGGAAGAAAAGCCCCCCTTGGGTCACATCATCCTAATGGAGAAGACATCCCCCTCTGCTCTTGGAAAACCAGACGTTACTCTGGGAATACAAAATACTCACATGCCTCAGTCCAGCTCCACCCCTTGCTTCCTTCACTTCAATTTTCTTCTTCTTCCGCTGCATTTTGCTTTCGAGTCCAGAAAGGCAGAAATGAATGCCTGCTTTGCCTTTCGGCAAATCCTGAAAGCATCAGAGATTTTATAAGAGGAGGCCTGGGATAGCTGATTCATGTTTTTTTCAGGAAAACTGATTACCTCCAAGAGTGTACGCTGACAGTGTACAAGCAGGGCGTCTCTCTGGATAAGGTACATACCTTGGCTTAAGACAGCTGTTTGCAAAAAGCTCAGCACACTCTTCCCACTGCTGCCAAAGAGGGACATTTCCCTGGGCTTCTAGAAAGCATTTAAACAGCAAGCTTTCTGCTTCTACCTCTCCACCCAAGCTATGACTGTATCACTATCAGCAAACCCTCTCACTTAAATCAATACGTCCCAGCTGCCTGGGATGGTGTGAAGGCTGGTGTCAGCTGTGGACTCTACACCTCTTTTAAGGCCCAGGTATTCAGGAAAGTCAGTGGCAGTAGAAAGAGTTCATTCACGCAGAGTGGCAAACACCCAATGTTTGCTGCTCAGGACTGCAATGCCACCCGGATGATGAACTCTCAGAACCAGCCAACTCCCCGAATCCATCTCACATGTCCTCCAGGTGTGTCCCCCAGCTCCAGCTATCTCAGACAGGCCAGGGGAGTGACCACGCCAAGCGCCTCCTCCCAGCGTGAGAAAGCCCCCACGACCAGAGGAGTCCAGCTCTAGGGCTGGACTGGACACCCCAGTCTGGCTGAGACTGACCCCAGTGGAGCAGCTCTCCCTTGGTCATCAACGCTGCTGCCTCACCTTCTCCTTCTCGTCCCCCGTCTGATGCTCCTCATCTCCCGTCCAGTTTCCCCACTCTTCCATGGGAGCCTTCCAGTCAGAGTCTAGGTCAATTGCTGAAGGATCATCTAGTAGGACAAGCATATGAATGAGTTATGTTCAAATCCATACTACTTCCCAGGCTCACACTAGTAACACAAATGCTGCGAAGAGTTTCCGTCATCTTCCTGCTTGCCGATGGGATGTGTCGGTGTGCATGTATGCACATGCATTTTAAATGTATTTTAAAAAGTATACATTGACTGCTAATTCACAATTAGTGACTGCACTCTTCAGGACAGGAGGAAAATTAAAGAAGGGCAGAAAAGCACACACAGGAACAAAAGCCCTTCCAGCCCGTGCTTCAATAAAACAAGCTTTACAAAACTAATAGCATGGCTTGTCAAACATTTTCTTTTAATTTCAGGGAGAAGGATTCAGGCATATCCAGAAACACTGGCAGAGAGAGCAGGCTCTTCCACTCACTACAACACACCATCCTCAGGGCGATTATTTGTATGGAGGAGTAATATTAGCAAAGGATTTGTGCATTTGTTAATGCTCTCATTGGCTTTTCTTTCCTATAAAAAAATAGTACCAAGTGCATTCTTGACTTCATCTTCCTCTTCCATTTTCTTTTCTCGAATGTAAGCCAGAAAGGCACTGACACGGCAGATTTCCAAAGCTCCCTATCATGCAACTCTAAATATGCATGAAATAGGTAACACCTACCCTGCATTGATTCTGATCATTTCATGGGGGCTAGGCAGAAAACTTTTGAAAATCTTTTAGATTTCTGTATCTGCCAGCGTCTGGTACCTTTGAAAATCTGGCCACAAGCCCTCAGCTGCCTCTGCACAAAGCACTGGCAAATGATCCTCAGGCAAGAAGGCAAAACAGACCAGCCTAATTTCTTTGTCCAAACTGAATGAGGTGCAAAAAAGCAGATAAATCAGCATAAGATGTTGAAAGGACTACTTGATTATTTTTTAATGGTTTGAATGTAACAATCTTAAGTCTTATCCTAACAGGGAGAAAGACTTTCAAAACACAACATGAAATAATAACTCTTAGCTGATCACATCTCTTAAAATAAAAACAAATATAAAAAAATCCCAGGCTGGATGGAAAAACTTCTAGTTGAAGCAGGGCCAAAACCAAAAGCATGCTGGGGATGATAAAAGAGAACTGTTTCCAAAAAGTTGCTCTGTCCAGTTTGCTGCCAAATGTTATAAACATGATTATAAACATTGCTCAAGTTTCTCAGTTTAAAATCCATGCCCTGTACATAGACAGTATTTCCTTCCTTCTTCAAAAGGGACAGGAACAAGTATTTTCTAATGTATTCCCCAAAAAATTCCGGTCTAAGTATTTTAGGCAAATGAATGCATCTAGATTCAAGAGATGCACAATATACATGAATGACTCAGATGTCTGAAGAACAGTTTGTGTAAGCTGTAGCATGGGATAGCACCACCAAAAAGCTTCTGCTGCTTCTCCCCAGTTAGGTTATATGAGGGTCTGGCTCACAAATTCTGGAGGATTTAGCTGTTGTGGTTGAAGGCAATATCAACCTGCACTCTCCACCCCGTATCTATGCCAGAAAGTACACCAGGGTGAGGACACAGCAAGTCCCAGCTCTGCAGACCGTGCGTGCACACTCTGCCTCTGCACTAATATACCCCAAGTGTGCCATGGCAGCAAAAAATATAGGCAAAACCACGCTGCTACTGCTAGAGAGGAGGCAAATTCTGGCTACCAGGAAGGTACACAGCATGATGCAGGGACTGGTGAAATGGCACCGAGACTTCAGGAATGACAGTCCCTCCTGAGCTGCACGGCAGCAGCTCTGCTGATGGATGCTCTCGTGGGTGTGGAAGCAGAACGGTCTGTAACTAAAAGAAGGCACACTGGAAGCCATGACTATCGTTTTCACTTATTTAACTTCCGATCTCTCAAACAGTATGTTTAAGTACTTATTTTTAAGCATGAAAATAGTTTTAATGGGTAAATTCCTGCAATGGGCTTAAGTTCATGCTTCGCCCTTGTCATGCGGGTAGGCATGAAGCTCAGCCAGGCAGCAGTGACTCTGCCTCATCTCAGAATTACTCTTCGCAAAGCATTATGTCCCAGGGGTGTTTAAAATCAACTCAGAGTAAAATTAAGTGCAGTGTAAGATCCTTTACAATTTGATGGATTTGATGGGAAGATAGGATTAAATGTACTTATCCTAGAGCTCGGGTTTAAAACCTCTCCTGTTGTGTAGCGTTATTTCCCTTCCAGCTACAGTGACATCTCCTGGAATGGCTTTAAACTTTGAATTATCTCTAATATTTTTAAATCAGCAACTGGTCCTCCTTGGGTCACAACTTCTCTCACAGGCTAAAACTGGTCAGTAATTCCTTCAGTAGGAGAAAACCATGAGCACAAAAAGGAATGTGCCATGCAGCAGCAAGTACTCCTGCTTCCTTGGTGGGTTTAGCACTAAGGGAGGTAATCTCTCCCAGCGCCTCTACAGACCAACATCTTGATAATTCCTGCTGTTCATTTTTACAAAAGCAGTGCTGTTAAATGCCATTTGCCAACTAGATCCTTGCATGCAGCCCACCTCAGTCCCCCAGCAGCTCCACCCAGACAAAGCTGTGCTTTTCTGTTCCCTGCTAGCAGCAAACATGTCCCATTTGCAGTGTGCATTTCAGGGCCAAGGTGACTTCCACATACCCCGTGTAATGAAGATACTTTAAGATCCTGAAGGGCACTACTTTGAAGGTGTCTTCAGAAATCAGGGAGGATGCCAGCACTTCTGCAGGCAGAAAGTCCATCCCAGCGCTGACCACCCAAATGCCCTTGGTCTCCAGCTGCCTCGGCAATGCTGGGGAGCAGCCAGCTGTGCCCTGGGAGGTGTCGGGGAACAGGCAAACAGGGCCCCACAGCAGCAGGGTCTGGTCAAAGGGGACAGTCAGCAGGCTCCCTATGCCGGCTGATAGAGAGGGTAGAGTAGAGTACTCTACAGGCTGAACCTAATTATCTGGCCTGGAAAACGAAGCTGGAAAGTACTGCAGCAAAAATCAGTCTGTCACCAAGAAGGGGATTAAAAAATTTCTAGTCCAGAGCTGTAGGTTTGGATCCTATGCTATCAGCATCCCTCTTTGGCATGATCTCCCCTGATATGGTCAGCAGAAACCTAAGGGAGAGCAGCCCTTCATCTGGCAGAGCAAAATCCTCAGTGGACTGCATATTGTCTATGGTGCTGAGTCCTCCTGTGGCTGCTGTAGAAAACCTGTCCCTTTGCAAAGGGCAGGTGGCTGTGTAATGAGCACGGTCCTAACCCAAATCCTTGCTGAGCCCTCACTTGTAGGCCACATGGAATGCATTCAGTGCAAATGGATAGGCAATTTCCAGTCTAAAGCTTGCATTTAGGTGTTACAGGTCAAAATTATTGCTACCAACAGTTGGGTGTAGGAGTCCCTCATTTGGCACCTTCCTCTAGCATAATTCAGTAGATGCAAAAATATCAAATAAATCCCAGACTGAGGACTTCTTTTAATCGAAAGAAGCTGCTTATTCCCATGAAACAAAGGAATTAAAATTAATTTTAACCCCAGGACAGAAGGAAGGATGGGAGTCATGAGACACGGGTGCTTTCTGAAGGCTCCAGGGAAAATCTGCTTTGGCAATCAAGAAGGATTCATTGGGAAGATGCCAAGTCACAGGTAAAAAGACAGCCCTTGTGGTCATGAGACAAACTGCATTTGTGAAGCAGAATGTGGGTCTTCTGAGACTGCCCTGCGCTGCCGCCAGAGCATAGGCCCACTGCGCTTGGAAGCAGACGCATGGCATAAAATCTGTATTTGTTTGCCTTGGAACCAGACACAAGTGCTCTAAAACAGCCCAGCCGGCCGCGCTGTGCAGGTTACACATTTTGTAACAGCAAAACCAGCCACAGCCTATAGTGCATTTTGTGAGACAGCTAAGCGTAAGTACAGAAATGTCACAAAAGGGGCAGCAGCAGACGTGTGGTATAGTTGCACAAAGGCAGTATTGGGAAACACGTGCAAGCAGTTAAGCCATCAAGGTACAGCACAGGAGGTAGAGCAGGCAAGAGATGTCTGGTGGATCCAGAACAACCCTGCAGAAAAAGCAAGAAAGGTGCCTGGCAAAACCAGCGCAGCTCCCGGGCCCGAAAGTAAAGGGAACTATGCCAGAAGCACCAGAGATTTTCTCTTTGTGGCAGGGCTGAAAAGCATGCAAACAGTAACAATGAGAAGGGAAAAATAAGGATGAAAGAAGTTGCCCACTTTGGAGCCCCCTTCCCTCATGAGGGACTGCAGCCATCAGTGCTAACCATGTGGCTTCAGCTCCGAGACACTGAATACCCCTAGCTAACGAAAGCTTAAGATTATTATTAATTATTATTAATAATAATTATTAAAATTATTATTAAGGACCAATTGTTTGAATATGCAGAGACAATGACTGATGACAGAATGAGGATTACAGAATCACTGAGGTTGGAAGGGGCCTCTGGAGATTGTCTAGTCCCACCCCGCTACTCACAGCGGGCTCAGCTACAGTAGGTTGCTCAGGGATGTAGCCATGTGGGTTTTGAGTATCTCCAAGGATGGAGACTCTGCAACCTCTCTGGGCAACCTGTTCTGCTGCCTGACCGTCCTCACCATAAAAAAAAAAAGCTTTTTCTTATGTGTACATGGAATTTCCCATACTTCACTTCATGCCTGTTGCCTCTTGTCCGCTCACTGGGCAGACCAGAGGCAACCACCCCATCAGGTGTTCATGCACGCGGATGGACTCTGCTGGACCCACTCCAGTATGTCCATGCCCATCTTGTACTGGGGAATCCAGAACTGGGCGCAGCACTCCAGATGTGACAATGACTAAGAATTAACCATCAGCAATGTGTATCATTAATGAATGTCAACATAGCAGCGTGTTGTTTTGAAACCAGCCTGATTTATCAGTCTTTTAGACACTCCCATATCACACTCCCATATGCTTTGACCGCTCAGTTCCTAACTACTAACTCCCTCTCTCCCTCTATGTACATATGCTTTCAGTTGCAACAACACTTAAGCCTCAAACTTTTTGTGAGTTAGGCTGTTATTATTACTGGTACTTCACAAAAAGATAACCTGATGCGGCACGAGGAGCCAGACAAGGCTGCTCCGTGAGCCGGGGCAGAGGCAGGAGTCCAGCATCCAGCTCCTTCTTCTGCACCAGCCCATCACAGAACAAAGAGACTCATTAAATGTACTGATCTGTATTTGATAAAATGACCCCAGCTCATATTCAGTTATAAATGGCTTTTTTTTAGTTCACAGGCCCGCAAGAGCTAACAGGCCTTGTTTAACTGTCAAAGAGCTCATTTTGCCTGCAGCGCAGACCTTAATGCCAACCATTACCTCATCTAAACTCAGGGAATACATGTTCGTGAGACTCCTCTCTGCATCAATATCAAGGCTGATGATTCAAAGGAAAAAACCTACTACTACTAAGAAGTAAGCTGTAAGGCAGGCAGAAATCCTTCCATTTCTGCTTTCAATCAAAATGCATCTGCTCTGATGTTTGCAAGAACAAGCTGCTGAATTTGCTCCTATCTGTTCTGCTCTCAGACAGACACGGCACCAAAAAAAGAGGAGCTCTGCCCAGCTTTGCAACTGCAGATCAAATCCAGAGCGTGCCAAGTGTGACAAGTGCTAAACGCAACGCAAGGAAATGCTGCTGAAGAGCCACCTATGTTGCCTCCCTCCCTCCTGCGCCACCGAGCCTGGGCTCAGAAGTTACAAAGGGCCCCGCGCTCATCAGCAGCAACGTGAGGGTAAACAAACACAGCACTAAGGGAGAGGAATGCTTGGGGCTGGTTTTTTTTTTCCCTAAAGCAAACTATTCTATTTATAAAATCCTCTGATGGCCAAGCTGATGCATCTGCTGCAGAGTCTCAGTTACCGCTGGGCAGAGAAGCAAGACGACCGCAGTCTCTTCTCCTCAATGCATTCAACCACTCTGGGTTCTCCTGTAGTTAAGGCAATCAGAGCAGCTAGAGCAAGAAGGGATCTGCTCGGTTCGTCAGACATCATCCCTGCAAGAGCAGGGTAAGGCCTCCCAACAACAGGGGTATAAATAGATACTTCACTCGATCCTGACCAAAAGGTCAAGAGAAAAGGCCATTTAATACCCACACTGTTCATGCCAAATTATTCCAGCCACTCAGGACCCACGCTGGCCTTTCAAGCAGATTTTAAAAGTTGAAAGAAAAACATTATCAGCCATAAAAAGACTGAAATCCTGATTGCCACAGTCCACTGGAGTTTGATTCTGCACCTGCGTTCTGGGTATTACAGAGGACATTTTAAGTTTTGTCAAAGGTACCCCGAGCTCTAGCAGCGCCCTGTCCTTCCCACGGCTCTTCCCCAAGCCACCCACTGAGCCCGGGCTGGGGGCTGCCTGGAAAGGGGCCACTCAGCTCCACCTTCCCCACCCAACAATGGGAGGGAGGGGAACACAATGCTTCAGTTATGAAAACCAAACCCAACTTTGAATTTGTTTTGCAAATTTAGTAATCTGAGATGATTGCTAACACATGATTTTTTTGAAGCACAGAGCCCATAGTGCTGCCTCTGGCTCAGGAAGTCCCTGACCCACTCTCTGCTGGGTGTGGGGAGGGACATGGGGGGATCGCCCTGCGCTTGCCCTGTTCCTTTGCTTATCTACCAGCAACTGCTATGTGCAACTGCTGGAGAGAGGACCCCAGGCTATGGGAGCCTTTAGACAGCCTCCCTACGGCTGGCCTTGCTGCCCAGAAGCTCTAATTACACTTTGCACAGCACTATGTATGCACCGAACAGGACTGCACCTACTGCATCCCTTTTTTTGTCGCCTTGTAAGTAAAAACAAGGGTCCCATGCAGGGCGCCTGCTGCTCTGACCGAGCTCGCAGCAGCTTTGGGTACCTGCCTAAAACCAGACCCAAACTGAGTTTCTCCCTTACCTCTGCCAGCCTTGTACCAGGTGGGAAGTGGACCCTGATTTTTGAGGCTTAAAAAACAGACTGAAAAGGGTGTCCGCATTAGTACATTTGTCTTTCAATAGAAAATGAGCGAAGAGACGTACCCTGCCCCTGCCATGCATTGTCTGCGGGGAGGAACGTCGAGCTGGTGTGCCAACAGCATCTGGAAGGACTGTCCTCAGATGATCTACTCTTCATGTTATCTGCATACAGGAAAAGCATCTTTTTTAAAATAAAAACAACCCCCCCCCCCAAACCTAAAAGAGAATCACATAGGTATATTCACATTATTAAAAGCAATTAATGATGCCTTTATCTGCTCGCTATGTCATGATGCCTGGACGTTATGTAATTTAAGCCACACATTCATCTATGCTGCTCATCGCAGTGGATTTATTAACGAAGGCTGGACGAGGACACTACATGCATAAGTTATTAAAAACAACCCACTCAGGAGTGGCTACACTAACGATATTCAGAGATGTAAACCTCCGACACATCACTGTTGGGGATGTAAGAAGGGAGCTATAGTTCCTGCAGAACAAAAGCAACATCCAGTGTATCCAGCTCCAACTGACTTCAGTGAGAAAGCTTCTGCTCATTCTAACAGAAATCCGTAATTACCAAATTAGTTACTCCAAGAAAGAGCACGGATGAGAGAGAGCTGCTGGAGGAAAAGGAAGAGTTAAAGTTTTTCTGATGATTATTTTCAACAACTAAAGTAACCAGTAGGATTCACATGCCTCCCTGAATGACTCCCCTTAGCCCCTTTCTAAGGCCTGTACATAACAGACTAGTGTTTTCTTAATTTCTTTCATACACAGCAGATTTTTTTTCATATCCGATTTTTCCTTTCTTCCTTTCACCTAAAGAACTCCTTTGTTTATACAGTTGTGCTCTGTATCAGCTTGATTTTTTGCTGCATAAATGCAGATGTTAACAAATAATTCTCCCTGTCTAGTACTTGTACATTAGGAACTGCTTCAATCCACTGATGCAGTGTTGGAAAATAGATGATAAAATATGGCATGTATTACATTGACTACTATGTCTGGCTTTAGAAGCGGATTTCAGCATTCTGGCTTACACCACCCATGCTGTTTTGTGCACGGATGTCTATCTATATGTATCTATGCTTGCCTTTAGCATCTCTAAAAGATTCAGGACTAGACTTCGCATTCATCAGCCAGTTCGACCTCCAGACAAATTTGAGTTTCTGGTAGGCAGAAAGTGTATGAACCAGGAGCGCTCAGAGCCAGGCAGTGAGAAGGACTGACAGTTGCAGAGAGGCGAAGTATAAGTCAGAAACAAGGCTCAAGATTAATGCAAAACCAGAAGATGCTCCATCCTTCTCGAGGCCATGCATGGAGAGGCTCAAGCTGAAAATCCCTCGCTGTGCTAGAGAGAATGAAGCTTCTGGCTCGCAGCCTCTAACAGGGCCTCTCCAACCTGGGCGTTTGCTCCCTCCCTCGGTCTGAAATTCTCTGAATTTGTTGGTCATCAGAACACAACAGAAACCTTCTGTGCAAGAAAACCTAACAGAGAAAGAATTTGCTGGGGAGGCAATATTTTTTTTATTTAGTCCAAGATGAGACACGCGTTTGGAAAGTGCTCAATAAAACTTTCTGATGTCACTCCTTAAAATGCTGGTAGCGCTGGATTGCAGATGCGAGCAAGCTCTACAAGGGAGAGTGACTAATGAAATGTGGCTCCAAGGGAAAAGACCCATATGTAAGCGATGAGAGTACTTTTAGGCCAAGCATCTAAGAAAGTGATAGAAGAATTGAGATAGAAGTCCAAAGAGAGACCACTCACCTAACTCCCTGGACAGCTCTGATAATGTCCCAAAGGTCACAGGACAGGATTTTACTTCTGCAATATCCCATGTTCCTGTATTTAAAAAGCAAACAAACAGTAACCCATAATGCGATGTCACATTCACAGCTGGCGACTGCAGTTTCTACCTGACACTCCCAATCTCATTACAGCCCTTCCATGTTCTCTCCATCCCAAGCCTGCAGCCACTGCTGTTGCTGGAGAAGAATCAAGCAAGGAGACGTTATCTTCTATGGACAGAGAGAGTCCAGCCCAGTCGCCATGTACACCTTCTCAGCCCTTCAAAGTGCACGTCACACCAGCACGGCACTTCTCTGGACTTAATCAAATTCCTCACTCATCTGAACTGATGTCCCCTTTTTGCACAACTGGCAGAAGTTGTCAGCCTGTATCAGCTTGGAATTTGGTCTTTTGAAAGCATTAGAGTAAAAAATGGTACTAATGTCCTCCCCCCATCAACCCTATACTTTGCAAAAAAAGAACTCTAGCAGAGAAAGCAACTCATGTAAGGGCAACCTAAGACCATTTTCTGAATCACCAGAGTACTGGATTACTGCTACTGAAGGTGAGTCATCATATGGTCTTATATACCAATCAATCCAGCCATCAAGCTCGATTAATCAGTGAGATTGTAATGAAAATCAAATGCTTTTGAAAATTAACCAAAAAGCAGTATTAACCACTATACCTTTTAACTCGTAACTCTCCCACCACACCAAGATGTCAGGAAGAGAAATACAAAGATAGATATAAAAGGTCCAATTACCACCTAGTTATTAATTATTGGTATTGCTCTACAGTATCACCCACAGTAGAAATACAATGTGAGACATAACTGCCATAAAAATTAAACCATGATGGAAACGAAAAGTCATCAAATACCAGTGAGAGAGCTGATATCAGCATCTCATCTTTAGCCTAATGGCCTGGCAGTCCATCCCTTCACTGCTTTAAAGGTGTCTGAGGTTTGAGAGATGCAGTTTTCCACCTCCAGCTTATGTTACACAGAGAATGTACGAGCAGCACAACTGAGACCCAAAGTAGCTCTAAATGACCTTGTTTGGACACCAACAAGGGGTGAATCAGCTGCGAAACTGGGCAAACTGTGTAGGTACAGCACAGCACTGACATGAACAGACTACTTCAACTGTCAAATACCCAAACTGATTTAGGAATACCCTGCCTCATACTGCTTTGAAATGCACAGATATACCCTGAAGCTTAACTCTGACTGTGTGTGAGCATCCTCGGAAGGAAAGGCTTTGGTTCCTTTGCAAAGGAACCAACACTAAATACCTGTAGGTAGAAAACAACTTGCACCCAACAGGTAGTCTGCAACACAGAAGAAATTCCTGCCATAAAGACCCCTCTTTTCACATTGCTGGAAATAAACGACAGCTAGCAGGGTTCAAAGGGGGTGGACAACACTGCGTGTGTGCAGGACGAATGTCAGTGGGGCTGTATGCTGCTGGACACAGTAATTCATTAAGCTTTCCCTCTGCAACACTTGAACGTTGACACTCACCTACGTTGCAGAAAACATCCTCTTCTGACGGGGAGGGCACCGATTCTTCCCGTATGGCTCCTGAGGCCTTCAGCATGGTCCCACACTCTGCCTTGGCAATGAGAGCACCTTTTCCACCGCCACTGGTGTCCTCTGTGAGTGGCCATACTGCTCCCTTCTCATCCCAGCCAAAGGCTGGCTCAACCACTGAGCTAGCCAGGGATGCTCTGCTGGGGTCTTCTCGGGAATAAACATTATCACAGGGTCATCCTTATTTTTAATTACAATGAAGAGTTTGTACAGGGGAAACAACAGAGCAAAGCCTGACCTAAACCCATCAGATGTAATGGCTATAATCCAACTGAAATTATTTACAGATACAATGACAGTAAAGCAGAGCCCCTGGGATGGGACACAGCAGCAAACGTGAAGGCCATGTGAGAAGGAAGGCACCACCCAGTCCAGCAATGAGTCCCACAGGAGATGATGCCGCACCGCAGAGGCCTTGGGCATCCCTCCCTGACTGCAACGGTGGCTCAAGGCCTCCAGAGTCCAGCTGGGGACCCAGAGCAGTAAAGGGAGAGAAAGAGGACAGCAGGACCTCCAAGGAAAAAGAAAACAAACCTCTTGGATGTTGGCAGTTCAAGGCTGCTACAGAAATCAATGCTGGGCATATGGATATTATAAATAATGAAAATTACTTCCAACATCTTTTGTTCCGAAGGACTCCCAAAGCACTTTAGGACTCCATTTTCTTGTGACTGGTGGGGAGGAGAGCACTGCTGGCATCAACCCCACCTTCACACACCTTAATGCTGCTGCTTCTTCCCTTCTAGAAAACAGCAGTAAGCACTTGGCAGGGTTAGGGCTTCTTCCTGGAAGAGCACATTTCACTGCTCTGTAAATGTCCATACTAAACAGGACCACCATGATCACGTGGTTGAGCCTCCTGCACAACCCAGGCTCCAGTACTGCATCAAGGACTTCTGGTGCTTCAACTGCGATTTAGTCTGCTGAGCTTCCTTGCCCTGGGCCAGCAAAGCATTTACTGCCTGCATGGGCTTAGTGTTAAATCATGCGTGGTTAACCTTCTGCACATGCAGCTGGCACCACCGATGCCAACAGGCCAACGCACATGAATAAAGCCAAATGCGCACCCATCTACTTTGCTGGAGAGCAAGTAGAGACCTCAGCACGTTAAGCCCTTAGAGACTGTCACGCAGATATTTAACTCTTGATTTATAGAATCCAAATGATAGAGAAAGTGGTCCCAAAATGCCTGTATATTTTTAGATTAAAATTTGCTGTTCACTTACCCCAATCTTCAATTTTAGTAGAGCATCTGAGAGCACTTTAAGATAGTCTTATTGCAGACAGCGCACAAACACCCACATTCATCTAGCTGTGTCTCCCAATCCCAAACTTCCATCTTAGCTTCTAAATTACTCTAATATATTAAACTTACAGGTTTGTCTATTATATTAATAATTTTATCACAGGTAATTAAAACATTTCCAAATGCCTTAATTCCATGACCTGCTTTCATACAGCGGTTATAATAACATAATTAGTAGAAATGTATATAGGCATAAGTGCATGGCAGACACTTTGAGATCCCCAGGGGAAAAATGTGGAGTGAGCACAAAGCATTGTTTCATTTTGTCTCATTAGGGTAAGAGTATATCCTCCCTTTATAGCTGTTTACTCTGGGCAGGCCTGGATTAAAGAACCTGTTCGGAACTGAGCAAATTACACAGGTTTTTATACAACCCTTATCAGAAAACTTCTTCTGTCAAGTCACGCAAAAGTAACTAATCCACATTACACCAAACCTTTAGCAGATCTCAGATCTAACAGATGTTTGCTTTCAAAGTCCTATGGGTAATACTATGTGTTTTAATGAAAGCCTGGAGTAAAAGGCAAGCTCCCAAGTAAGACCTCCCTAAGCTGTCTTTTCCTAAGTAAATAGCCTAAGTAAGTGCAAAGATTTTGTTGCTGAATGACAAACAGAGCAAACAGAAAGATGCTGGGAAGGGAGAAGGGGTGACAAGCCCAGCCAGATCAGGTGTGTAAACTGAGCCTGTACATTTACCTTTTTGTTTCAGCCTTTCCTTCCTTAAGTGTCTCTTTTCTCGGCTGCTGATTTTGGTCTGCCAAACTCCTACAACACAGAGCAAAGTTCATTTTTAAGCTAACAAGAAACTTCCTTTACTGCCTTTATTGCTTAGCACAAAGGTAAATGGCTATCTGGTAGTTTCCGATGCTGGCTGCAAAAGTGGCACCAGGGCAGCAAGCGCTGCCCCGGTCTCGTGCAGCATCTCCCCTGGGTGCAGCGTTTGCTGCCTCTGCAGAAATGTGTTACATAAGAAATCCCCATCACAAACCTGTCTGTCATGTGTCCTGACTCATGTAACTGCACATATTCTTCTGGCCTTTGTGTCAGCTGGATGTGACACCCCTTTCCCTTGGGGGAGATGTCACAACAGAGCATCAACCGCCTTGTACATCGAACAGCAGAGAGAAGCTCATGAAAATCTTAACCATCAAAGAAAGCTTCAATTTACTGGCTTTCTCTAGCCCTGAACATACCCTAAGACTTGTTCTGCGATGTGGAGACCCTCTGCCACACAGCTGATTTCCACACACATTCATTCACACTGACAGGGCCACGTTCTGCCTCCATCCATGCTCTCCAAGACCCAAGAAGTCAGGGGAGGGACTGGCACAAATGGTTAATAAAGAAAAAAACACAGTCCACGGATTTCACTTGAGACAAACATCTTCTTTCTCTGAACCATCCCTGAATAATGTGTGAAACAGTCCAGCTGGCTCATCCGTTCAAAAAACTAAACATCTGTTTGAAGAAAGGCTCTGCTGTTTCCCATTCTCCTCCGGCAGCCTTGCAGGCACTCTGCTCCTGACGCAAGGGCCTACAGGGAGGACTCCAGTCCAACAGCAGCGAGGGCTTCTCTTGCTCTCACCACCACACTAATCACTTTATAATCTTTTAAGCCCAGAAAAGCTTAGAATTTGTTGTTTTCAATATGACCCTTGGTGGAGGGAGGCGAAGAGGGGCTCATGGGATACAATGTATTTTCCAATGAAATTCTAGCTGCCTGAGCCTTGCTAGCTTCTGCCAGATTTCTCTGCAGATTTGCTAGCAACCAAAGATCTTGGCCCTGTTCATGGGTGTGCTAGAAATTGGCTGTATATTACCCCAGCGCCTTTACCAGCCTCAATCACGGGCACAACAAAACGCTGCCTGGGAAGACCACCGCTTCAGCTGTGTATCAGCATGGCAGAGGCCACAGAATTAGAGTAAAAGCATGAAGACAGGACCCCGCTACCCACTGGACCTCTAGCCACTTCAGAGATGCCTCCTCATCCGCAGATTTGCCATCTCTGGGAATGCGGTAAGGACCTGAGAAGTGTGGCAGGAAAGCACACGGTCCCTGTCCGCGTAGTTACACATGGTGAGGAGCAGATGATAGAAATAGCTCTCAAACTGGCAATTTTTCCCAATAACACAGAACACTAGAATAGGAGAGAAGACCTCCCTTTTGAAATATTTCATCCCATGTTATTATTTGGTAATATAAATCAGATAACAGAAGAACCACATCTTTTGTTACCTTCCTCCTCTTGCAGTTTGTCTTTTTCCACAGACAGCAGATCTTTTGGCACCTCCTTGTCTGAGCACTGGGCCTTCCTCTTCTTCTTAGGCTACAGTATACAGGAGGTACATGGCAGAAAGATAAAACACGTATTTGTTACATTTCATCATGAAGAAAAAGAGTCAGGGCAATAGTTTTGAAATGGAGACCACACGGCGGTACTCAGAGAGAGCAGTAGGTCGCTGGAGTCTTTAAGTGGGTGCAAAAGTCTTTCTGAGCAGGTTTTACTGCAAACTCCAAACCAATGAATGCTATAGCTTTTGGCCTACAAAATTTGACTTATCTGCTAGGTTAGAAAGTTCCCATTCTAATTCAGGCACCTGCTCTATAGTAAGATTTGCATTCATCATTTCTACGTACTAATTTTCTTCCTATGAAGGAGGAAAACCTAAAATTATTTACCCCTTTTACAACCAGAAATGCTGAAATCAAGAGTTAGGACTCTGCCTATGCTTAACCAAAAAAAAACCCCATAAAACAGCCTATTTTTAATGAAGGTATCTGTAGTTTACACTAATCTGAAAGGGCACAGCAGTGGCTGAGGCCATTTTCATATGGCTTGATGAAACAGTAGAGCTAACCTTAAGTCTTCAATTTTGAATGTTCTAGTTTTAATACAGCGGTTCTTGACTTTTCCAAGGTGGGATGCTCTTGCCAGGAACACGCTTCCCTGCCCAGGCTGGGGGGCTGCTCCTCACTTGGAAGTGTCTGTAAAGCACGGACACTTTCCGCCACACCAGTACAAGTGCTCAATGCCCAAGACAAAACCCTTGCCCAGACCAAAGGAAATGTCCTGTGTCAGAGCTGGAACTGAAATACAGGAGATCCCAGCTCCCGCTTCTGGGCTTGGACCACAAGACCGTCCCACTTGTGGTGGCCGTGACAAGCACCACAGTGTGACTGTGCCAGAGAGTTACTTGGTCTTATGTTCCTATGTCATCTTTTAAGTGCTCCAACAACAGGAACAACAAATTATCTTTAAAAAGGACTACCAAACAGGGAACATTCTTAAAACAAGTGTCTCTTGAAAGGCAATACATAAACTCTAAAACTCTTGCTGGTACCTTGAGGAGCTTTTTCTCTCTGATGTTGACTGATGTTATAAGCTGGCCGTTCACTGGAACCTAGAAGATGGACAATAAAAAATGCATTATGGCATATATATGTGCATGTGTGTATATGTGTAAATATACATACAATTATTTCAATACTGTCTTATAATGCATATGATAGGCTGAAAGACACAGCTAAATAACCCCCCATACAAATCTGGGCTAGAATTTGTGTCCTTGTTCCAATTTGAGTTAATTTATTCCAAATTAATTAGTGTTAGCTAAGCCTTTATGAATGTAAATCCAGAAACTCCACATAGATTTATTCCAGAGCAGACGTATTTGTGGTTTATCCTAAGATTTGTCTAGGATCAAAGTTGTTTTTCAAATAGGGTAAGTCTGTCTTAAAAAAGCAGCAGAGACAGGAGAAGGCTTATTTTAATTCTTGTTTACTGGTTGGGGTGGACCTTATGTTCCCCCTCAAGTCTATCTAACCAACTAAAAGAACAGCTTTCATCCTACCTAGATCCTGTAAAGTAAACCCTGAAAGTTTAAGGACTTTTCAAATTACAGTTTGATTAATGTCTTGGCTGTCTCAAAATTCACTGGCAATGGCCAACCTCCAGCTACAGGGGTGGGAGGGTGTAAATCTGCAGCTGAGACAGCAGGGGCTGTGCCAGCAAGGGCCACTGCACGCCACACAGAGGTACCAGCATCCAAGAGAAGGCAGATGCCCTTCTACAGGTGCCTCTGTTTCCCCCTGACACGCACAGGAGCACGTTGCTGAATGTATGGCACTCCTCTCCCTTGCCCCGGTTGCCCTCCTCGTGCAATGCAACTCCTGTTCAACGCTGCCCAGGTTTCCTTCAGTCCCATCAGACCTGTTGGGCTGCCAAGCTGAACCCGAAGCTCGTAGCAGGGAGCCTGACCCAGGCTGTCACCACAGTTCCTGATCCATCCTCCACCTCTGCCTGGGGCAAGGGGCGACAGGGAGCCCCGATGCCTGGCAGGTGAAGGCAGCCCTGCAGGGAGCAAAACCCCTGGCTGCAGCCCAGAGCTGTCCCCTCAGCATCAGGAGACAGCGGGCACCCTCTCACAAACTGGTGATGAAGGGGCTTCAGGTGCCCGCAGCCCTCTTGGGGAAGGGAAGACTGCTGATGCTTTCCACTGTCTACTCCTCCTCCCCACCCTCAGAAGTCGTCTCTGTCCCCGAGACATTGTGGCAGAGTTTAACCACACACATGCTGGAAGACGAAACCTGCTCTGATTCAGCTGCAGAAGAGCAGTACCTGCTCTGCGCCGTCACAAATGCCGTTAGCAGGGTGAAGAATAACACGTGCAATTAATGAAAAAGAAAGATAGAAATCAGCATGCTCCACAAAACACTGTACGGTAAATCAGGAAAGCTAAAACCTGTTTTTTTTTTAAAAAAAGGCTCACTGGGTGGCTACATCCCTTTAGGCAATGGGGACACCACCCCAGATGTGAGAGGCAAAGACTCAGAGCCACCTTGTGATGGGCAAGATCACAGCTCTCACACGGACACACAGGGACATAAGCAAACTTATTTCCACAGAGCAACAAGTTTTTGTGCGTTATCCCAAAGGCACTCTGAAACATCGTCAGGACTTGAAGCAACTTCTTCTGAGAGATGAACCAGTTATTTCTTAGACACCAAAAAAATAATCCCTGCTGACGTTACCAACAAATAAAATCCTGGGGGTGATTGCCCATGCCTGTCCCCAGCAAACCCATCAGGGCTGCAGTCCTTCAGCCTGTTAATGCTTAGTTCTTTGGTATTTTGAAGACATTTTAGAGCTATTTTTCACAAGTCTCAGAAAGGTCTGATTTGACATGCATGTTAAAGATGGCACGACAGGCACCTGCACACTGGCAAATGGTTCACCCTTGGAGATGCTTGCTTGGGAACCCGGACCAGTTACAAACTCGTGGTGTACAAGGGTGTAGCATTGACCCAGCAGGCTGGTGTTCAACCAACCCCCCACCATTATTCGGAGGAGGAGCCCCAGAATTGCGGATTTTGCAACATACCACTCTCTGAACACACAGACACCACCAATTCTGGGTCTTCCAGTAAAATACCACAGTAACAGGAGCCAAAATATCTGCCTAATTACATAAGTAGTTCCACCAGCTTCAAATTATAAGCTTAAACCAAGTGGTCCGCATCTCTTTCGTCTCCCTTAGCTGTCATTTGGTATGTTTACAGTTATATTCTTCTGAACATTCACTAGCAAAATAATGACTTCTGTGTTAAAACACAGCAACGTTTTGCAGTAGTTAGCAAGGCCATCTTTGGTTTTTCCCACAGGCAGTCATCTCTCTTCTGAGACTCTCAGGTTCATTTACTAGAGGCACTCCATAAACCCCACCACAAAACAGACCATTTTCCATATCCTGCTCTGCTCAAGGAAAAAATCCCACTGTGCCTGCAGCCGGGAGGGAAGCAGCCTCTCACACAGGATGGGAGATGTAAAATACAAAATCAGGGGAATTTTGGTGAAAATTTGAACCACTTACGACAAGGAAGATCTTGAGCTTCCATGATTCCTTCTTTCTCAGCATATGCTTCTGTCCAATTAAATGTGTGAAAATACAAATAGATCATGTCTTAGTGAACAACAATTCCTATGCAATATAAAATGTTGGGGGGGGCGGGTGGTTTTCCACTATATGACACAGGACTTCAGGAAAACTGAATTTTATAGCATGAATACAGGAAGGGCTAACTGGGGGAAGCCACACAACATGTAAGCACAATATTCCTTTCCAGTCTCAACAAAGCCTGGTGATTTCCCAGTTCTCACAATGAGATCTTCAACGTTTTCTCAAGGCTTTGCTAACGGACCTCCCAAATTAAGCCACTTTCAGCAAGACTGCCACCATCAGCAACAGAAATGGCAGCACTGACTTACGAAGCAAGGAGGAGGATGCTTTTTTGCCTTCTTTCAGACACACACAGAGGATAAGAGACATCCTACCTCCTATTAGCCTCTCTTTACATCAAGATGCTTCTGCAAGCATGAGGGACTACACGCAGAGAGACAAGGAGGTGTCAAGATTAAGGACATGCAACTGTCTTCCTCCCCGAGGCTGCCATAAGCGAGCACAGCCCGGGGCTGTACAGAGCCCTCACAGAGGCAGGGAAAACTCCAGAGGGAAAATGTTGAGTGCAACAGAGAATTAGGGAAGATGCAAACTATATTGGCTCTGACAGACTTGTCTCAGCTGGGGCAGGATCACATTCCTGGACCTTCTCTCCACATAAATGACAGCAAGCAAGAAGCTGGAAAAATTGCAGCACTTTGTTTTAATGCTTTGCCAATCTGACTGCTGTATACTTTTACCAGATGAACACAACATTTCCTACTTAAATGGTATTTCGTCCGCTACGTAAACATCCCTCTCTCTCTCCCTCACTGACTAAGAGGTTAAAAATATACTGTTGACAGTCATTTACTATATCCCAGGGGTCTTCATGCTGACTGACTGACTATTCAGCCCTAAATACCCGCCTGGGACTCCTGAACCTTGCTGCATCCTTCCTCATGAGCAGCTGAGTGCAAGAAAAATACCAAACCTGACCGCCAACTGATGATCACCAAATCGCCCACCACTCCAGTGATGCTCTTCTTTCAAACCTGAAGTATCTGTTGCTTCTCCACCATCCTTCAGTAATAGCGGCAACTCCCTTCCTTTCCTCACCAAGTATTTTTACTGAGTACAACTTCCTTTCAGTGGAAAGGTATTATTCTAGCCTGACCTTTTGTATTAAATCCTAACCTTTATCCAGCCCCTTTTCAGGCAGTAAGCTGGCTGAGGAATCCCACCCTACCCTAGTCTTCCCTTTCAAAGCCTTTAGGATATGGGATTAGTCATGCCTCTTTACCATGCTCTTTGGCCATTCTGAAAAGGAGAAAGGAATTTTCATTATTTTATTGCACTTAATCTAATGGACTCATTCAAGAGAAATGAATTTTGTCAGGGTAATTTTTTTCTTAATGAAAAATGTAGTTTTGTACAGGGAGAACACATCTAAACCTGCCTCATTAAGTGACTGTAGAAAGTCATCAGTGCAACTCCAAATACATTAGATATATGCAGAGAAACAGAATCCAGACTTTTAGTGGAATCAGACTTAGCATATTAATCTCTACTCACATTCTGTGGAACAATAGAAAGATTATTTTTAGTTCATGGCCATTTGGTTCGTGACCCAGTGGAACAGGATTGCTCCCACACCCCCTGCCTTTTTTTCCTTTATATGTAACCTAAGGTTATATTTCTGATGATTGCTCTGAAACCTTTATTCTCTTGAGCTAGTGTTTAATTTATTTTACGCTGTTAATATAGTTCTACATAAAGTCACAAAGAAAGAAGGCAAAGTGATAGGTCTTCAAATGTTAAAAAATACCGGGTTTAATCATTAATATATAAACCATGTATTTGAAGCCATAAAACCGTACCCCTAGACACTTATCTTTATGCATTTCAATAGTTTCATAAGACTAGTCATTTTTACAAAACCAAACACCTTTGCAAGTGTCTATCAAGTCAGGAAGTCTGCTTTCAAATCTCAGTGCCACCAACTGGTTACAAGATTAATTAAAAATTACGTGAACATTAGCTTCAGGTTCACTAACTGCCCTTTGTGCCACTTGGGGAAGGTGCTTAAAATTGCCTTCCTTAAGAAGGCATGCAAAGGTTTCCCCAGTAGAGGGATACTAGGACAAAATAAACTCAGCATATGAAACCCAAGGGGAGCTATTATATGCTTCATACATTGGAAATCAGGGAATTCGTTTAAGAACATGCATAAAGATTCAGAAAATTGTCTTCGGCTACCACTTTCAGAAAACTCCAATTAAGTGGGTTGGACACTGGAAATGAAAGGAAGCGAAAACTACCCCATTCTGGCAGGGGGTCTGTGAACACAAAACCATTTCCAGATTTAAGAAATACTTCAATTAAATTGTTTCCTAGTGCTCATTTCCAGTGCAAAAACTCAAATTTTTTTCACCTTGTGTTACACCACAAGATAAATGTGGTGG